TTTATTTATTTATTTGCGCAAGTGCTTCGTGGCAGCTGTTTCGACCTTACAATGTTTTGAATAGCATTAATTGAAAGGCACATACATGTTTTATGCACCTACACACGTACACACACACGCACACACACATACACTGAAATTGTGTTGAAGTGAGCTGCATAGAATGGAGCGAACAGGTGCCAAAATATTGAGCTTATGCAGGAGAAAGAGACAGAGAGAGAGAGGGAGAACGAGTGAGCGAGCACAATGGACTTTGGGAAATGAATGCAACTGAAGCAGCTGTTCTCAATCATCAGGCGAACGGCGCATTCATCAAATGAAACTGTAATATTATTAAGCAACTTATGTTTATTTAAGAAATCTTATTTGCTATAGTTCAACAATGCAAATCTTGTCAAAATCTGTTCAGAATTGCTAGATTTATAGTTGAGGAAAATGTCGGTTCAGTTCAAGCTGAGTTAATAGAGATTATATATGTATGTGTATATGAACAGGCAATAGGCGCAGCATTTCTGCCTTTTGGGACTCTGATTCCAATTGCCATAAAAAACCTGTCTTCGAGCTGTATTTAGTAGTTTATATAATTCTGATTGCAAAATCTGGGCTAATTCGATTGCTTAAACTTATATATATTTATGTGCAGATGTATATGTATACCTCGCTCTTCCTCTTCTAGGCAACATTCGCAGCCAAAGGTGGCATACCATGATGACTACTTATCTATTCCACATATATTCTAAATATTTTATGCATTTCATTCCATTAATTTATATATTCATATAAGATATTTCCTATAATAGATTTTCGATACACCGAAAACATGAAAACATAAAGCTATAAATTTCTTAAAACAAACTATCTAGGCGTTGCAACTATCTAGTTCTTATAGTTTCTTCACACGTACGGACAAACGGGCGGACAGTGCTAAAGCAGCTCGCAATGCGAGCAGGGCTGGCAGATCTTGAAAGCTTTTGTTCTTTTGGGTTATAAAACATACTTCTGATAATCTAATCATTAAGTTAACTCTAAAGTTAGCCACGCCCCTTCAGGCTATTACATACACTCTTATAAATCCATTATTCTCCAATTTTGCATTTTCAATAGGCGCAGGGTATAAAAAGAAGGATAAAAATTAGCTGAGTGG